TATTTTAATGATAAAGGACGTCCAATTTACATGCTAACCTTCCATCTGATCTTGTTACAATGCTTGTTATGTAATTGGATCTTTATAGTTTCCTTTGTATCTAAATGAACGCCCTTTTTTAAGGTTCTATGTAAACCACTCCTACTTCTTAATACATAAACCCTTTTGGAAACAAAGGTATAGGCTTCTTGGACTAGTGCTTTTCCATAGTGCTTTACTTACCATTGCGTGACTCACGGTCGAGTGATTTCCTACTCGTTACTCTTCAATAATCCATCAGCTTTGTGTTATATCAATAAAGCAATAATTTTTACTCTGTGTCCTCACAACGTATATTCGACGTCCTCACAAGGTAACCCTTTAATTAAATTTCTGCTTGATCCTAACTCAAGGCCAAACCTAAATCTAAACGACTCGATAAAAAAGAATTTTTTCACAACACTATCAATTTTCTTGATAGAGTAGACTTCATTGTAAGGATTTGATTATTGTAGAAGGGATTCACATATTTTCTAAAAATATATTCCTTATTATTATATCGTAATTTTCTAGAGTAATATCATGGCCTTTCATCACTTGCAATCCGTTTCCCTTGAGGTGCGAGATGAGATAATTCAGTTTTTGAATATTTGTATCCCCAGCGGCTATTTCCTCGTATTTTACTTCTTCTTTTCTTTATTGAGAAGCTACACATTTGTGAAGGTATTCCATCCATTTGTCATTCGTTTTCAAAGTTGTAATATACAGTTTGAGGCGTTTTATTTTTTCTTCGATAAGTAGGCTTCTTGCCTCGTATCGTTGTTGCATTTCTTCTTTGGACAATTGATCAATTGGCTTCAGATCAAATTGCTTAATTTCATTGAAAAATCGAATTAATCTTCCTGTGGTCGTTAAGGCTCTTCTAATTATTATTGCGGATATTCCCGTTCGTGTACAAATTTTGTTACGAAAAATTTGCTTTACTTCTCTCGCAACAAATAAAACTCGACTTACTTCTTTCAAGCTACTTTCCCATGTTTAGTAAGATAAACTGCCTGTTTTGTTGAAATTGAATTATCATTGAATGCGTGAGGATCTATTGATTCTTCTGATATAGCTGAATATCGGGAATACAGATAGTATTTATTAATTAAGTAGAAATTGACGCGAATGAGACACAATCGTTACTTCAATCCCGAGGAATAGATTGAAATGAATTATTGGAGGATAAAACAGAAACAGAGCCAAATATTGGATTAAGTGAAATAGTGAAGATTCCTTTAAAGGTATGGATTTGTGTCTCCACCTTTAGTCAACAATGTCTCCTTATCTCAAATCCTTATTATTTTATATTAAGAACAAGTGGCTGTGGATTACAAAAGGAATTCTAAGACAAAGAAATGCGATGCTTAGCAGAGATCTAGAAATGCACTATTGGATAAAAGCACGGTTATCACGGTTATCCACCTCTACAGTATGCCTAACAATGTACATAAGCTGGGTCGTCATCCAACTGTTCATTAAGGACCAAAAGATTACGAGTAGTTTGGTTAACAAGCGCCAGTCCTTTACCACAATGTTGG